TGAAATTTCTGCCCTAGATCTGACCTGGTCAACTGTAAGTGTTACTGCTGAAATGGAAGTGACTAGGAGCAACAAAGCGGTAGACCATGCAAACTCACAGAGCGGGGCTGCTGAGTGCTGAAGCACGTAGCATATAAAAATCGCCTGTCTGCTGCTGCATTGCTCACAACAGAGTTCCAGACTGCCTCTGGATACATTAGCACAAGTGCATTGGGATCTTCATGAAATGGATTTTCAAGGATGAGCAGCTGCACACAAGCCTAAGATCAAGAAGTGCAATGCCAGGTGCCGACTGGAGTGGTGTGAAGTGCGCTCCTTGTGGACTCTGGAACAGTGGAAACATTGAGTGCGTTTACATGCGCTTGAGTAATCAGATAATGGGGAAACTCTGAGTCTATGTGAGTCAGGCAGTAATCAGATTTTTTTTTTTCAGATTTTTTTTCAGATTTTTTTTTTTTGCGCTACTGTACCGGAATATATCAACATAAATCATTTAGAAGATGAAGGATATTTAAATCCTTTTTGTGTTTGGTTTCGGTGCCGCTCCAACAGTGTTCTGCTGCCATTTCGTGACATCCACCATCTGTTCTCGCACATGCGCAGACTGAGAAATCCGATAGAAATCAGAATATGAGTTTACATGCGCTGAGAAATCTGAGCTAAATACTGAGCTAAAATCCAGCTCTCTATCGGATTTCTTAATCAGATTTCTAGATCGGAGTATGGTGTTTACATGACGATTTGAATAATCAGATCGCTGCAGAAATCCGATTATGATTGGATTATTCAGTGCATGTATATGCACTCATTGTCCGGAGTAAGAAATGACACTTCACTGTCTGGCAGTCTGATGGATGAATCTGGGTTTGGGGGATGCCAGGAGAACGCCAACAGTAAAGGTGGAGCGATAATGGTCTGGGGCTGTTCTTCGGTTTAGGCCTGGCCCCTTAGTCCCAGTGAAGGTTAATGTTAATGCTACAGCATACAAAGACATTTTAGACAATCATGTTTCCAACTTTATGGCAACAGTTTGACTGTGATTCCAGCGGCCTACACAGAGCCATGACCTCAACCCCATTGAACACTTCTGGGATGAATTGGAATGTTGATCATGAGCCAGGCCTTCTCGTGCAACATCACTGCCTGACCTGAAATGCTCTTTTGCTCTTTTGACAGAATGGTTACAAATTTCCATAGACATGCTCCAAAATATTGTGGAAAGCCTTCCCAGAAGATTGAAGGCTGTTATAGCCACAAAAGGGCGGGGCAATCCATATTAATGCCCATGGGTTTGGAATGGGATGTCCAGCAAACTCATAGGTGGGATGGCCAGGTGTCCAGATAGTCCTGGCTACATACTGTGTTAACCACTGCGTTAACCAATAATATCATGTTTTTACATCTGACTCTCATGACCTCTGCCTATCAAACAAAACACTCATCTAGCTCCGAGGCCCTTCCTAATACCATGTTTCACTCTGTCACAGTACAGAAGGAAAATGCATTATGATTCTCATGAACTTTAATAAATCATTTTGCTGAACTGCATATAATACTGTGTTCATGTAAATTGTATTTTAGGTGAAACCGAATCAACATGAGGAGTTGCAGAATGTGAGGAAGCACATCCACTCTTGCTTCTCCAGCATTGACTGCTTTCTGCTGCCTCACCCAGGGCTGAAGGTGGCAACCAACCCCAACTTCGATGGCAAACTAAGAGGTTGAAACAATCTAATTAAGCTCTTAATTGCACATGTACGCACAAAATAGTTTTCTAATCTTCATCTGCTCTGCAGATATTGATTATGAATTCAAAAGGGAGCTGCAAAATCTGATGCCGCTACTGCTAGCGCCTGAGAACTTGGTGGAGAAAGAGATCAATGGAGCCAAGGTCACATGCAGGGACTTACTGGAGTATTTCAAGGTCAAGAATATTGTCTGTATGAACAAAAGTTATGTTGTGTTTGTTTTTTGTTTTGTTTTTTTTTTGTTTTGTTTTTTTTGTTTGTTTTTTTTTATTATTCTTAAACATGGTACTATGTTTAATGTAAGTTCTAATTAAGTGTTTTTATAGCAGCTGTAAATTTCTCACTCGTTTTTTGCGTTTAGTGGTGTTCACAATTTTGTTTTAATACATGCTATATGCTGTGTGTGCAGGCCTATATTAAAATCTACCAAGGCGAGGAGCTCCCTCATCCCAAATCCATGTTGCAGGTATGCATTCCTGCTCGTGATATTTCAGCTATTCACTAAACATTTCAGTTTCATTATACTCACTGTACCTCTGTCCCCTAGGCAACAGCTGAAGCCAACAACCTTACAGCTGTGGCTGGAGCAAAAGACACCTATAGCCGTGGAATGGAGCAGGTAGAACTGATGTGTTTGATGCTTATCTTTTGAAGGTGGATAGCATTTTAAAAAGTAGACCTAAGGAGTGGGACTTGAGTCCTCTATTAATATAGCTGGAGTGTGACGTAGCAAGTAACCTAGATAACTGAAAATAGCTTGAGGCCACTGCACTAAAATAGAAGGTTTTAATTTGGCCCAGATAACACACATGCAGCTACCTTAATTCTTTTACTTCGATTTAATTGATGACACAGTCTTCCCCCTGCATTCCATGTGTGTTTGTCATAGATATGTGGTGGAGACAAACCATACCTTGCACCGATAGACCTCCAGCGCTATCATGAGGAGACAAAGCAAACTTCTGTCAAGCAGTTCCGTGCTGTTAAAAAGATGGGAGGAGTCGAGTTCAGCCAGCGATACCAGGAGCAGCTGGAGTCCGAACTTGATGAAGTTTATGCAAATTTCGTCAAACATAATGAAAGCAAGAACATCTTCTACGCAGCAAGAACTCCCGCCACGCTCTTCGCCGTCATGTTTTTCACCTACATGGTCTCCACAGTAACGGGCTTTATTGGTTTGTCAGTAATCGCAGCGCTGGCCAACCTTGTGATGGGTGCATCACTGCTGTCATTGTGTGCTTGGGCGTACGTCAGATACTCTGGGGAATATCGAGAAGTGGGTGTGGCTATAGACCTCACAGCAGAAGCCTTGTGGGAGCAGGTGAGTAGTGCCTTCTTATGTCTGTTATTCGTTGATTCAGACACTAAAGTTAAGGTGACAAACATGCAATGCAATTATTTTTTTTATTTTTTATTTTTTTTTAATCTTTTTCTTTTCCGATTGGTGTCGGTGTGCGCGTATGAAAATAAGACAATACTCGGGGGTCATAATGTACGTATCACACAGCCCAGTCAGTGAAATGCTCAGATCATATCCTTCAGTTCACACCCCACTGCAGGTCAAGGATCTTCAGCTGTTTTATTTAAATTTTTTTTTTTTTAGTGCTGCTGTGTTGCACCAGGCAACTGCTTTTATACATCCTCTGATTTTGTCCTTCCTTGCGCTGTGTCCTCCCGTGTCGCCTCTTCTCAAGTTCAAGAGGCTTGCAATAAATACAAAACAGAACACAGGCAGTACGCATAATTTTAGTTATACCTCTATCATAACTCTTTTTTTATCTCCATCTTCGGCTCTACAGAGGGTTATGCTAAAGGTGAGACCACCTCAGTCTTCTCTCCCCCCCCGCAAATTAGTCTTCCATATTTCCCATTATAGGTCTGAACTGTGGCCAAATTTGTGCTCCACTGACAGTTTCTAGATAAAGTAGTATGTCCGGTTTAATAATTTCCACTTAGCTTGACTACTTGTGCCCTCTAAACCTCTAAAGATGAAATGTCCTGTAACTTTATTTTTCTTTTTTTATGCCTCTGTTGCTATTTATCATAAGTAACACTGCCCCCCCCCATCTTTCTCTCAATCTTTCATTCTCATTAGGTGCTGAAGCCACTGACCGAGCAATACATGGAGGAAAATATTCGCCAAACTGTAGTTAACTCTATAAGAGCCAGTCTGACTGAACAGGTGACACAAACTGCAAAGTTAAAGACCACCTGACCACTCATCCCTCTTTTTGATGTGTGCAGTGTGTTTGTGTAGTTTTTATTTGAATTCTGTTCCCTTAGACTCAAGAATTAAAACCAAAGTTTACAACCCATGCCCTGTCCGTCATACAGCTTCAGTGAATGAGCTTTGCTCGGTCACTATAATGTAGAAAAGCACTTGCGTGTATACACGTTTTGTGATTTTTAAATTGATTTGTAAGTGCTACATGCATGTTCGGATGTCTTTATTCAAAGAAGTTATTTGGGAAAAGGTTGCATCCATTTTACACATTTTAAACTAATTAATCCCTGGATATCTATTTTTTAAGTCTATTTAGATTAATTTGTTAATTTGTTATTTGAAGTTGATATCTCTGTAAAGTTGCAGAGTTTTAGAACAGTGCAACCTATGCCCATACCGAACTTGATCGTTTGTTGTTCATGTTTAAATACTGACATTCATATGATTTTTGTTTTTTGGTAAATGCACTACGGTTAAGGTGACTCTAAATCCATCCAAAACTCTTCAAACCAGTCTCCCCTGTACACATTAGATCATATTTTAATTTTAAGCATGTACATGAATGTATAAATATAATTTTATATTATATTTCTAAATCATGGGTGGGGAGGGGGTAGTTCACAGTTGAATAATTTGCTTGCTCTGTACTGTATGTGAATTGAATTCTGCTGTTCGTTTACTGTACTTTGCTAAATCTTGCCTGAACCTATTGCATCATGCACAGCTCTATGACTGGAGTGTGCATGGGGTGATATGCTTTTGTCTGCCTTTTAAGGACACGTCCTATAATTTATTTTTTAAATTAAAAATATTTAAATGATTTTCTTTCTTGTGTGAAGGTTTTATTTCCTTAAATAGACTGTCTCTTACTAAACACAAGCTCTGCAGGTTAGATCGAATATACTTATTTGTGAGTAAGCTTGACATTGGCTTCATATAGAGTCAGTACCTACTAATGCGAGCATAGAGCAAGACTAATTATGCCAGAAATATTGGGATATAGTCAAGTCACACAGTACAGGCCCTTAAACTCTATAGTTCTAAAACTTGACTTCTCTTCCAAAATCTACAGTTCTGATGAATTGCAGTCCCACACTCGAGTTGGCTCAGCTGTTCTAATAAGCTGACATTCAATAGAAAGCAAGGTTTTTAGGTTTGCGTCACATTTCAGTTCAATTTTATTTATTTGGTTTTATATTTCAGCAGCAGTTGATACTTTTCTATAGCCCAGAAGGCAGTTGCTCAATTCAGAATCTTTTTTAGCTCCTAAGGTTTCTCAGCTCTGGTCATGTTTCTATGGTGACAGACATTTTAAACACTTTTGAACAATGGGGTTTGAGTCGTGCGGTAGTTTGCCGTTACAGTCTTGTTCAGGCAGTGGGGAGTAGGGCATGTCAGATAAGGTAAGGGCTGTGAAGGAAAATTAAATGACCTAAACTCAGATTTTGCCATGTTTTTAATTTGCATTACTTTTGGATAAAAGTTCATGTCATAGTTGTTCTTTGGACAGGTTTACAGCCACAGGTTACTATGTGAAGTTTCCATGTTGAGGTGTACTCTTATTGATTGATTGAGTGATTGATGATTGAATGATTGATTGATTGTTGGAATTTAGAAAAAAATAAGCAAAGAAACCAACCATTTATCTTTTGATTGTTTCATTTTCCTAATTGATTTCCTTTAATTAATATCCAATTTTATGCAATAACATCTTTTTAATCATACTGCAGTTAATGTCTGATTGTAGTCTGCTTATGCAAAGAATCAAATACAGAAATAATTAGGACATGTAAGTTACAATAGTGCTTAAGGTCATTAAAACAACTTCTTTTCTTTAACCTTTGAAAGGACTTTCTTAGCAGTCTTAAACCCATGGAAGGAGGTTGTAACTTTGCAACAGATTCTTCAGAAAAACATCTTGCTAATGCATGTTACCGAAAATTGGACTTTGAAGAAGTACTTGCTAAAGGTTTAGTAAAGACTCAACAAGAAGCCTTCGCTGGTGAGATTAACTTAAAATCATCAGATGAATTACTCTCTGAGAGACTGGCTGGCTGGGTTAAGGGCCCCTGTGATGACTCTCAGCATGGTCCAAAGGATAAACTGTCAGTTAAATACACAAATGAATCTCACACTTTGACCCAAAATGACAGAAATGTATATCACTGTTTAGATGAACAAACGATTGAATTGTTGCAAGGTATTTTAACCACAACAAAACTGAAGAAAGATGTTGGAATATGTACTCTGGGGCCCAATGCACTGGCAGCAGTGTCACTACATGCAAGTCCTGACAGAAATCTTGACCTGGAGAACTTCAAGGTGGACTTCAATCCCACCAAAACCTTTCACCTACCACACAGTCGCAGTGTTCATACAAATGTCAAGAGTGCTGTGGTTAAAGTAACCCGAAAACCTTCCTCACAGGCTACTTCAACCACTAAATCAATGGAAAAGGACAGTGTCCGAGGTGATTGGAGTCCATCATTTAAAGGAAAGCAGCTTGACTTTTTTGAATCCTTGAAAGAGAAGCTTCAACAGAAAGATCTGGAAAATCAACAGATTGTTCGGTTACTGCTGAAGAAGCATCAAGATCTGAGGGATGTTAAAGAAATGTTGAAGCTAAAGGAAGTGGAGGCCCAGCTCATGGCCGAAAAGCTGAAATGTGAGGAGCAGAAGAATTTTGAGGTCATGAAGAGATTTAACAATGTTTGTGAGGATATGAACAAGAAACTATCCATAGCTAAAAACCACAATGAAAGCTTTGCCAAGCAACTCAAAGCCCTACTGGAGAAATACGAGCGCCTCAAAAAACGTGCCAATACTATTAAGGAGCAACTTCTTGAAGAACATACCAAGAAAAAGAGCTCACAAAAAACTGTAAAGAAGATACAAAAGATGGCTGAAGAACTATTAATGAATCAAACTCTTCTAGAAAAACAGAAGGATGCAGCAACAAGAGAACTTAATGCGTCCAAGAAGAAAATGGAAAAGGAACAGAAGCAGCACATTAGGATTGTACACCGAGTTGAAGAGGAGAAATCAGTCATTGCAGCTGAGTATGAGGCCCTTATAGATGAGCTACAAAAGACTCAGAAGGAGAACAAGAAGCTCACAGAAGCGGTTCAATCCAAAGAGTTGGGAAAGAGGAGAGCTGAGGAAAATCTGCTGGAATCTCAAAATGTGGTAAAACAACTGTATGCAGAACTGGATGAGAGTAAAACCCAAAGAGAATCCATGTCTCAACAATTAGACGCCATGAAAAAAGAAATAAAACTAATTCACAACAGACATAAAGTGGAGAGACTTCAGTTACAGGAGCAAAAACAGACCTGTATGAAACAGTGTGAAGATCTCAGAACAGAGTGTGACGCCTTAAATGAAGTAGTGTCGAAACTTAAAAAGGACAAGCACATGCTTAAAGAGGAGCTGGAATGCCACCAAAAAGAAAAAGCAAAGTCTGAGACAGCTAGTAAACGGGAGGGAGAGAGACTGAGAGAGGCTGTGAGTCTTCTGGAGAGGGAGAGAGAGCTTCTTCTGGATGAAATGAGAGACTTGAGGAAGGATTACTTCAGCCTGAGTGATCGCATCACACAGAGGCTTGGACAACTGGACCAGGCTGATGCTCCTATGTGCATCACAGACATATCATCATTTCATCATTGCAGAGCACCCAAAGTGGACAACACAATTGTCCCAGTCACACCCAGTATGGACGGTAAGTACAGTAAGCCTACATTAAGCTGTTCAAACTTTTACATCAAGTTCAAATGGAAAAAAGCACAAATTATATGTCTTTAATATTAGTGAAGTGACATAAAGGAACTCATGGGTTTCCTTTCTTTCAGTGATAGAGCACATCAGGAGGAAACTAGAGGAAGAGGAAAACATCCAGCAGAAATGAAATCAAAGCATGTGTATACAGTTTCTACAGCCTGTGCTGCAGTAATGCCAGAAATTAGTCCTTTTAAGTGTTCACTCACCATTTTTCTGACCAATATTGTGATTGCAATTTAAATGCAGTAATTTTCTATAAATTAGATTAATGGCCTGTTTTTGGGCCAATAAGAGAATATCCACTTTTTCTGGCATGAATCTTGAATGCTGAGTGTGTCAGACTTGTTGTCTGTAGTTGTTATGTCGTGTATACAGAACATGGGTGTTTTGTTGCTTCTGATTGGTCTAACTAATGTTATTAGTTTATTTTTTCCCCATTTAAAACTTGACATTGTTGATGTATTAGATAATACAAATTGATTTTTTTTTTTATGTAAAAACAATCTTTTACCTCTAGTACTACCTATATAAAAACTCATTTATAGCAGTTTTTCTGTTCACTCCACTTCCCTTTCCAAACAGGGATTTGACAAAGTGTATTGTTCTTTAAGCAATTATGACTGAACAAAATCCTTTTCCAACACTGTCTTTTGCAGTTTCAAATCTAAATACTGGACATTGGTAGCAAGATAGCATCTCAGAGCCTGACAACTATGACTCAATATAAAAAAAGATTTCTTTCAAATTTTCTGCATAATAGTTGAGATGGATGTCGAACATCATTCATGACGCAGTGTTTCATTGTAGAGAACTTACTCAGATTTCTTTATGTGGGTGGTGAAGGTAACAAGGGTTCACGATAACGTCAAAATACATACATACCCATTTTACTTATGTAATGTGGATAATGGTAAAGTGTGGTATCTGAAAGTTTGATGTGGTACTATTTTGCCTTACATTGCCCTGCACATACCTCTCCGAATGGACCTTAAAAATACGTTTGCACTAAAATTACCCCAATATTTTTCCAAAATACAAGGTGATTCAAAAAGGTCCATCTGCTTTCAAAATGATTTATTTCACTTGTAAATCATTACAGAACAATGCAGTATATTGTAAATGGTTTAAATGAACATAAGATTTATTATGTCATTTTGAAAGTGCTCAGTATGAACCTCCTCCAGCTGTACGAACATCAACGCTATAGTCAAATTCAGCCCATACTCGATTGAGCATGTCGGGTGTCATTGTACTCACGACTATTTCAATGCGATTTCGGAGATCATCCAGTGTTGTGGAACCAACTGCGAATGCGCTGAGCTGTTGGAGGTTCACTGCCAACAAAAATCAAGTTGCAGTTATAACTGATTCACTCTTATTTAAGTGGAGAACACTAAACACTTCCTCCTCAGGCGTTGCCATCTCCTCGCAGACTGAAGGGAGCTATCTTCCGGTGACAGTCAGAAACTCTATGACCACCTTTTTCAATTGGTATGTGATTGGTTCCTTGGCGCCTCAAAGTTGTAAAAATATGGCGCTTTGAAATTGGATTAATCTTTTTGAATCACCCTGTGCTTCAAACATCTGGTTCTCATCACCAGCACTGTGAACCATTCGGAGTAAGTTGCACTAGAATAGTGTATTTTGCATTAAACAACTCTGAATGACTCTGCTTGCATCTTAATTACGTAGAAATCAGTGTAATTCCATTTTAACACACTTTACAAAATTCTGAATATAGGATATTTATTTCACTTTGTAGACATGAAAATAAATCAGAACAAAACAGCATGGTCCATCTGTAAAGCAGGATTTTCAGGGGATGTACAAAGTGCCTTGAGGTGACTAATTTCTACATGGAAATAAGCCAATGGGTTTACAGCAAAGTTTCAAAACAGAGAAATGTGACAAACCAATTTAAGGTGCATTAAGTATAACTTTCCATTAAAACATGATAGAAAACCTCCATCAGTATGTTCCTGTGCATAAAGAAGAAACCAACCACAGCACCAACTGGCTAACTACACTTAAAGATGAAGAAAAATACACAAAAACATTACTGCACCATATTCCTTGGAGATAAGAAGTATTTTATGGTGGCAGGTTTTAACACTGAGTTGAGCAGGACTTCAGAGGTTTCTATAGGAATAAGGTCCAATACTCCAATAATGTGATTATACTGGGACTAGTAGCTACCTAGTCAGCGAAATGTGCCATTGCAAAGCGAACCAGATATTTTTTTTCCCCTCATGATTACAAGTATTCAAATCAGTACTATTCCACAACTTTTAGAATGAAATGACAGGCAAGAGCAGCTGATACAGTATGATACAGTAGGAACAAACATTGTTCTATACACTTGTCTAAACAGCAGTTTGTGACTGGTTTCAATACTCCATCATCAGATGTGGATCCTCTGAGCACTCAAGACAAGCAGATCTCTGTTTTTTCTTCTTTAGTCTCAACCACCCTGAACACTCCATCCTTCTCCTTTTTAACACTTTTTTTGGCTTGATCTGAAACGAGATTTAATTCACATGATTTATTTCACTCAAAAATGAATAACCCTCCAACTATGATCATCACATACAGATGTGATCAGGAATAGAATACATAATGGAAAAAGTTCCAGTTTTCTCTGCCAATAGAGCAAATTCTTTTGTCCAGTAGATACCAGTTCTCTTTCTAAATGTGACACCACTTTGCTTACCTAGCAGATCACTGCGATCTAGCAAAACCTGCAGATCTTTGTCACTGATGACCTTTCCTTTGGTGCTCTTCACCGCCCTGAAACACACATTAGGGAAAATTCACAAATTAGGGATGCACCATCAGTAATTAGTATCTCACAGTACCATTATGGTAGTTACTTTAAATAGAGGCTGTCAAAACAAAACCCCAAGTCTCAAATGGTAACTTTAGAGAGCAAGGATTCTTTATTTATAATAGAAGCTTAGTGATTTTGTTGGTATGTTTATCACAAGCTTTTTAGCATAATGCAAAGGATAATTATGTCAAATTATACAAGCTTCTCTCACTCACACACATACGCAGTACCAATCCAATGTACATTAAACTGCCCTCTCCACCAATTTCCAAAGCAGTGGTTTTTTTTTAATGCAATATGAACCTAAAGGCAGTACCTTTCATAATCTCTGGACTTCAGCAGGTCCATCAGTTCATTCACATCCACACATTTCTTGGACTGACTGAGGTCAGCTTTTCCACCTTTGAACTTATCTAATGAAAAATTAACAAAAAGAAAATAATAAATAGGTGATTGTAAAAAAAAAATAAAAATAAAAAGGAATGTAAACTCATAACAATTGTGGGTAACAATGAGTCAACACCCTTCCTAACAAATAAAACATTTAATTAAATGAAGAGCATGTCAACAACATTGTTAACCGAAAGACAAAAAAAAAAAATCTAAACAAAGCAGGGCTTTCTAAAACCTTGGCTGAGCTGTTAAATGGGTAGGATTTTTCTTAATATTCAACTTGAAATGCCCACATTTACACATTTTCTCTGTAAGGTTTTTGCTTTTTTTTTGTTTTTTATATAAAGCAAAGCATGCTCATAAGACAATGTCTTAAACCTGTGTCTTCTTAGTTTGTGATCATTTCAAAGAATCAATCTACAAAATGGTAAAGAATGAAACATGACAAGCAAGTGTGCATTACAGAATGTAGTTCCAGTGTCCCAACACTACAGTCATGAGACAGTTTTAGAATTAAATCACTAACCATTTTTACCAAAATGTCCCACTGAGTCTCATTTATACTTGATCTTCAAATGATTGAGGAAAATTTAAATAATGATTTCCAAAGCATGACTTGTCATGCATGTCAACAGAAGTTTCCATTCTCATGTAAAAACAACGCATCTTGGCAATGCTTACGTGCTATACTCATTTCAACATGTGATTCATGATCATTTTTTAACCACTATGATGCAAATGCTGAGAATGCATCTTAAGAACAAATTCAGAATGACAAATATATTTTATAAACACCCCTCGTTTTTGGAAATTCTAAAAACGTATCTAAATATCACTAACTTTATATCTTAATCAGCTTCTTTACAAACTCACAAACTTTACAAATGCAGCATTTTAAGCACTTTCATTGCTCAGAAGCTTACTTTTATGAATCACCATCTTCTCTAGTTTCCTCTTGGCAGATGCCCTCTCCAGGATTTTCTCATCAATGGTATTGGCTGTGATGAGACGGTACACCACTACAGGCTTTGTCTGTCCAATACGGTGACACCGATCCTGAGCCTGCAAATCTGCCTGAGGGTTCTACAATAAAGAACAGTATGCATTTAAAAAAAAATAATAATAAAAATAAAAAATACCTGATACCCAACTATAATTTTTTATTTGACATGAACAAATTTAACTAAGCTAAGGGAACACACACCCAGTCACTGTCAAATATGATCACTGTGTCTGCAGCTGTGAGATTGATCCCAAGGCCACCAGCTCGTGTGCTCAGGAGGAAGAGAAAGACCTCTGGATCTGTGGAGAACTTCTGCATCTGCAGATAAAAAGAGTAGATACAAAGGCCTTAACACCTGCATACATGTAAATATGATACTAGTTTGAAGTTTTAAAAACAACTGAAAACATCTAAAATGTTGCATACATTCTCTTCTCTGTCTGAGTATTTCATGCTCCCATCCAATCGGCTGTACTGATATCCTCGGAGGTAACAGTAGTCCATCAGAATGTCCAAAATAGAAGTCATCTGGCTGAAAATCAGTACCTGTCAAACCCATCAGAACATATATAAGCATTAATGATGCTAAAACAAGGTCAAACTGTGACAAATGCAAAATGCCACTCTCTCAATTAGCTCACAACACATTATTTATATATCTTATGTAATTGTTGTATTAGACAGATTTAATCGCTGTTCTTGCTTCACCTTATGTCCTCTTCTTTTCAGTTCAGGAAGCATTCTGTCCAGAATCAAGAATTTCCCTGATGCCTCCACCAGCTGTTCATCAATCTACACAAAAGAACAACTTTACATGAATTAAGAGTACCAAAAATAATCATAAAATCAATAAAAGCTCTGTTTACATTACCAGAGTGAAGTTGCATAAATCCATTTTTTTGCCTTAAAGTGAGACAGATCTAATGTTTACAGAGCTGTGTGGACACACAAATCTGAGTTTTCCCATAACAGATCTATGCCACATTCATATGTAGTCCTAGATCAGATATATATCTGATTTGTGGTCATGCGACCATAATGAGAAGGGTCAGATCAGTTTCATATCCCCTGACATGCCTGCCAAAACACAGGGTCTCAGTGCACAAGACATTCTTCATTTCAGACTAAGCTACTGTAAGATTTACTTACTTTAAACTCTTCAGTGCCAGGGATTAGAGGATACTCTATGAGGTAAGCATGGTTGCAGCATCGCTTCAACAGCATCAGTATGTTCTGTAGTTTCAGATTGACCTGGGCATCTAAAGGCATCTGAACGTCCACCACAGGAACATTGCTGAGAAAAGAGATTTTGGAAATCAATTTGAATAAAGAGGGAAAAATAAATTACAGCTGAGCCGAACTGTAGAACAAATGACACTCACTTCTGCTGTCTTTCCATCTCTTGTTGCATTTTCTCAATATATTTCTCCAGGTCATGGGGAGAGTCACCACTCTTTTCAGAGTAGTCCACAACCTTCCGTGATCGACGCTTTGGTCGCCCAGAGGATGACAGCTCCACCGGTGCTTTCTCCTCCTTATTTGAAGAGGCAAGGCATTATAGCTCATTTAATCAGTACGAGATTGAAGAAGAAGGAAAAAAAAAAAAAATCTACCACAAGTGAGCTTTCTTCACAATGGCATCTTTTCTATTACCTGATAAAACAAAGTTTGACAAAATAATTACTAGTTATTTCTCCTAATAACTTATAACAACTCACCTTCTCTTGGCCCAGCAGCTTTGCAATCGTTTTGTCAACAATAGCTCTGTAAAAGGCCTCCTGTTTGGCAGTCAGGGGAGCATACACCACAATCTCCTTCTTTGGTGGAACCTCCAAAGTCACATCTGATTTCAGCCGTCTTAGCAGGAAGGGCGTGAGAATCTGTTTCAGCACAATCAAACAAAAGGTCTGACATGTAACTGTGTGATGTGTATGATACACATAATAACAAATCAAACAGGTACAATAACCCAGAGAGAGAGAGAGAGAGAGAGAGAGAGAGAGAGAGAGAGAGAGAGAGAGAGAGAGAGAGAGAGAGAGAGAGAACAAATGTACAGCTTGGAAGAAAAGCAGAATAGTTTTACTCCTGAAACATAACATAATACTGCTGAAGCAGTATCATCACATACTATAAATTACACATAATTGTGTGTTAGTTTGATCATTGTTATATAGACTAAATGTACATAGCAACACAGGGTTGTCCAGGGTGTTTCCTGCCTTCAACCCAATGACATATGGATAGGCTCCAGCAACCCCCACGACCCAGGAAAATAAGCAGCTTAGATCATGAATGAATGTACATAGCAACACAATTGTTCTGCCTAATTTTGTTCTAATTTAATGTTAGATGGTAACTTTGTTTTCACCTGGTGAAGCATATTTAGGATGTTTTGTTCCCGTTCGTTGACCACAAGAGTCTCTGCATCTGAAGTGATGGTGCTGATGTCAAACCAAGACTCAAAACTGGAAAACAATAACAAGTTTAAGACTTAAATCAGGCAACACAGATGAAAAGAGGCTCTACTGGACACATAAAATTCTTTAACATGACTGAATACCTTTTTAAATCATCAAAGACATCTGGGAGAAGAAAGTTCAGCAGTGACCACAGCTCGGCAAGATTATTCTGCAGTGGAGTTCCTGTGAGCAGTAGCTTGTTATCAGTTGGAAGTGTTTTGAGCTCTCGCACCAAACGACAGTTTAGGTTCTTTATTCGATGACCCTCATCCACAATTAGGTACTTCCACTGGTATCTCTGGACAGAAAGAAAGACGCCATTAGTTTAAAAAAAAAAATAAATAAAAAGAACATCTCAATATTTGCAAAACACTAACCTGATCTTTTAAAAATAGAAGACTAAATATTACACCGCTGCTTTTGGTAAGAACGAAATGCATGCATTTTACCATCACCTGAACACCACACTGCAGTAGTTACTGGTAAATTCTTACCTGAAGGAACTTTCTATCGATCATGGCTATTTCAAATGAAGTGACAACAACAGGGCACATGTTCAGAGGACCCTGAGGCTTGCGAATCTTCTTGACAAGGTCTAATCTCTCTTTCTGGGAACCATGGTAAAGCATTATAGATACCTATGGAATAAAGAAGTCGTCAAGGTTCTGTCTTGTAACAGTCCAGTCATGCTGTAGACTAGAGAACATTAGTTACAGAGCAGCATGAAAATAATTTAAACATTCTTAAAACATTCAAAGCTGGTTAACAAAGTTCTCAAATACATGGAATCCATCATCTTAGCATCCAGTCCCAGCATGCAAGAGATGTAAATTTATTTCCAGTATAATTCTGCATCACAGCAACCTCTGTTTCCTGTAACCTCACCTCTGGAGTGAAGCGCTTAAATTCACTGATCCAGTTGGGTAGAGTAGACAGAGGAGCAACAACCAAGAACGGCCCCATGACCTTTTTTTCAACCATCATTGCAATATGAGCAATGCACTGTATGGTTTTTCCCAGTCCCATCTCATCAGCCAGGATACCATTAATGCCATTCTCCCACAGCATCTAGAGAACAAACAAGGGGGACGAGTGTGAAGCACAAAATCACCTCATATTCTCTCTCCTGGTCTGAGCAGAGAAACGTTAAACATTTTACTGCATTATTCTCATATTTGTTATTTACAAACGTATTGTACATTCCTCTGTCCTATGGAGTTTACTTACCCTAAGCCATTCAATACCCTCTATCTGGTACCACCTCATCACACCACCAGTAAAGAGTTTGGGCTGCTGTGAGGGGACAGGCTGTCCATTTACTTTCCTTTCAGGGTCAAGCATATGTTTAGCATTTTCCCGCACAGCTTCAGAGAGCCGCCCTTTTATATCTGAATTAGAGTCGCTAATTTTCTCTATATCTTCTGCCTCAAGTTTCTTCTGGCTTGGAACCTCCTTCAGAAAAGAGAATAAGGACATTTAAGATACCAAAACTCTATTCTAGATTTGAATCAACTGTGCTAGAATTAAATTTGCATTACAAAATTCACTTTGAAAACATGGCATTTTCAACTTAAAAGCATTTCAAATTACCTCATCAATCTTCTGTTTCTTGGCTTTTGATAAAATTTCCTATAATAAACACAAACAAAAAAAAACATAACATTTCACTTTGGATATTCTGAAAACATTTTTTAACAAAAAATATATAGTTTAGAATTCTCCAACCACTTTAGCAGAAACACAGCTCTTACCTCTTTAGACATGATGTCAGCAATTTTGTAGTCTTCCTCCCTTTCTCGCTTCTTTCTTTCAACTTAGGAAAAACAAAAGAAAAAACGTCTGTAATTTCAATCTATTAGTTCAATATGGTGGAAGCATTTGAATCATATTTGTAAACTGTTATATGTAGTTTTGTATGATATTACTTTGTATAATCTCAATACACACTGGTTTCATTTTGGGGTGGGGGGTGTCAGAAACATATACACTTGCAAAAATAAAGGCACATTACCTTTCTCTGTCTTTTTGTCATTGCCCTAAGAAATTGAAGAATCATTTAAGTCAGACAGATATTTTTATAATTTCCAAGCATGATCTAATATTTTAAAATCTTACACAAGCAAGCAAGCAAAACCTTTAATTGATATTGATGTTGATATTTACAGTTATATTACTTTGCAATGTTTTACCACACAGACTTATAAGCCATAAAAGGATATGAAACAAGCAATATTTTGTCCGGAGAAACACTGTGAAGCTTACCTTCTGTTTCAGAGTTGCTTCTTTCTTTTCTCGCCTTTCTTTCCGGCGTTTTTCCTGTGTTAATAATTGACCATATTACCTCTCATGTTTTATAAGATGTTGACATGTTCTAGTATGCAAAGAAGTCATGGTTCATTGGGTTTCAAAAAGTAAAAGGCGGCAAGTTGATCATAAACGTTCCAAACAAAAAGGTGCTTCAAATGGCATGACAGATTATCTCTAATCCCACCAAAGGGACTAACACTTTTGAGCAATTACAGCATTTCACTAGCTTCCACACATTCCACTGCCTTTTCACACAACTACAGCAAGGGCGATCGATGAGAACTTTAGGTCGTATTTCACAAAGAGAAAAAAGGGCCTATTATTAAGTAACTGGAGAACCGAGCACAATCCACTAAAATAAGACCTTTTATTTCTTGACACTTTCCCCCCAAGCATCCTGAAAACATACCTCTTGCTGCTGCTGTTCCATTTTTGTAAGCAGAAATTTGGCATATATGTTGCTCTTCTCCAGAAGATGCTGAAGTCTTTTAAATCGCATTTCTTGGGAGTCTTTTTCCCACGACTCTCTGGCCTGAACAAAGAGATACACAAAACACAGGGAGTGAACCAGCAGACAACATATGAAGGAACAGTGAGTTGTTCAAACCTATGCTCACAGGTTTAGGATCGGGTGGGGCAAAACAAATGTTCACCTATTACCTTTTCCATCATTTCTCTTTCTTTTCTCTCCCCCTCTTCCATCAAATTCTTTTCCTCCTCTTCCATTTCTTTAGTAATAACCACCTCCTCATCCTGACATTTCACTGCAAAGGAACAGGCACCGTTACCCAGCTGTTTGATCTGTTCATTACAGTTAGATGGAGTTCAGCTCTCAGCACTTCCTACTGATAATTATGCAATAAATATCAAACCTGATGCCAGGTAGGTCACACATTTACCTGCAGCAGCCACCTCCATTGCAGCTCCTTCTGGCTCCTCCGATTCATTCGGTTTTGGACAATGAGGAGAGACACTGCGAGTCTCCTCTTTAACAGTCCTAAACATTTTGGGACACATAGGGAAAAAAAAAAGTTTACCTAAAGCAAAAGCAAGTCGCTAACCTACGTAACTTGGCCAGTAAGAAACCACGGCAGCTCTTTGACGGGTAAACATGCAAGCTAAGCTGAATGCTGGCTAGTTTATTTGTTTAACTTACCCACTCATTTTAGCTCCCGGGTTGGTAGTCAGCCAGCAAAAAGACTGCGAAGGAAATAAGTGCTCCACACGTCTACGCTAACTATCAGAACCGAGGTTATGGACAAATGTCGCAGTACAGTACAACGGTTTAATACAAACGGCTGAGATAACGAGTAACGTTATGTTTTCTTGACAGGTAAAACTAGGATTACTACTAACTTTAGGTAACGTGCACACGTTTTATAACCAGCTCGCAAAAACTTCAGAGTAGTATAATCTCTCAAATCTAAAATAATACTAACGGAGAATAATACTAAATGGTTTTTTTTTTTGCAGGAAAATGACACAACACCCAAACAATGTTACTACTCGTTACCCCAAGCCACTCACTCCAGCCGCTGCAGTGCTCCGGCGTGCGACTGTGTAAAGCAGAGCAGAGCACTTTCGCGCCAATGTGGACGCAACCAACTTCACCACACGTGCGGGTGGACGTTAAGTTCCTATATAATTACTACTGTTGTTTTCTTATATGGGAAGTCAATTTGCTTAAATTATATATTTTGAAATAGATAACTTTGTAGACACGTTAAGAAGTATTGTGAATATGATATACATCTTCAGCCACTTTGTTCCTTCCGTTTTACAAAACTCCCCCCATTCTATGATGTGTGCAACTTGCTTACTCGACATTTCCCGCGAAAGTTTTTTGGCGAAGAGACTAACAGCATGGCGACGACTAAACGTGCAGGAAAAGAACAAAGACAGAGTTTTTTATCGAATTTAGTTCAGTAAATTGGACTGGTTTTCTCAAAGCACAGAGGAGGCTGTGACAGAAGAGAAATATCTCTGTACACAGATTATGTTTGTAAACAGTAACAGTATAATACAAAACACTGATTGTATTTGGTTGTAAGTATAAGACAGAAAGATTTTTCAAACTTGTTTTAAGAGTAAAAATTAACATGACTCGTTCAAGTTCAGGATTATGGTTAGGTGTAGGTCTTTTATTTGTTTTAGTAGTAGTCCTAGTTAACCCTTTCGTGCATGTCGTGAATTTGGTATAACTCATTTAGGAAAAATAATGAACAACTAGATATGTTTTTACTGTTTATTTCTTTTATTTTCTTTATTTATTTTTTATTTTTGCAATTATGGGTTTAGACCTCGTCTTTGGCCTATGAACAGTGTTGGTTTACTCAAGCTGGCAACAGCACTATATCTGCACAGCAAATGAAGTCTTGCGGAAATTCTCTTCAAAGTAGGACTGCTGCAGATACAAAACTATGCAGAGATTAATATAGACCACTAGGTGGCGATATTCACGTATGGATTGTTCAATTGTGAAATTACAGGTCACACATTCATAGATATGTGGTCACGAGCAGCGTAAGAAACAACTATTACCAAAAGTGTTATTTTTTATTGTTATTTTAAAGTTATTGTTATTTTGGTGATTTAAAAAATAAACCGTGACTGACGGTAATTAATGAAATACAACTGCATTAGAAGCTTGAAAAATTGTGTTTGTATTTTTGTGTGCTGTTTGTCACATTTATGCATAATAAAACTCAGCTCACAGTTCTGACATCACTCTGCCCTTTTACTCAGAGAAGCCCATAATATAATCTGAGTCTGATTTGAGAGAGCTAATAGGAAGGATCAGAATGGTCTTGCATGTTCCAGAATAAATCTAGGATTCCTCAAGAATGGAAATAAAGATGGGCAGTATCACAGTATTTTGTTGTTATTGTAATAAATGGTATGCGCTTTGAGCATATTGTGGATCAGCAAATAAAAAAAAAAATCATTATATTCCTAGTTTTTGAATTCAGTATTCAAATGTAGCTCTACTAGTGTATTGCGTCTCTGTGAAAATGTGGTGATATATATTTTGAAAATGTCAAAGTATTCTGATAGGATACTTTTGACATTTTTAGCACATTCGGAACTATGGACAAAAAAATCAGCCTTCGAGGTTTAAATTTGATTTTTCACCTCATCTTGGGGTTGTTTTTGACTCATCTCTTAAATTTGACCAACCGATAAATTTGGTCATGAAGAGTAGTTTTTCCAGCTGAGGTGTGTTTCTAAATGGAAAATCTGTCTTCTCATTTCATGATCTAAACAGCTTTGGCTGTTTTTAAATGTGCTCTAGGAATAAACTTGACTGAACTCTGCTTGAATGAAAACCTTAAAATGATTGCTGTCAACTTTGACTTTACAACATTTCTACTGGATGTTTTGCAAGTAGGATTGATGCATGTAAACTGGGTCAAAAGAACAAATTTTGTAGCCCTTGTGCCCCTTTTGATGATGTGTCCACATCATCAAAATTGTGCACATCAAATACAAGTTGTTGTTCCTGCTAGAAATTAATTACGTGTCTGCTCACATTTCCTGACCCCATTCCACTTGGAGTTGGCATCAAGGGTCATTTTTCTGGAAACAGATTTAGAGTAATTATGTACAAATAGACCAGATTAGGTTTTTGTTAGACCACTTGGCCTATGAACTGTGTTACCTAACTCAAACTGGCAACTAAATAGAGTAATAAAGCACTATATTTGCACAGACCAGTATACAAAGTCTTCAGCAAATGAAGTCTTTGCTGATATTCTCTTCAAAGCAAGACTACTACAGATGGCTAATTAAAAACAACAACAACAACAACAACAACTCTATACAGAGACTCCTATAGACCACTAGAAGGTGATGTTTGCATATGGTTCATTTCATAGGGAATCCACAGGTCACCCTGAGATTTGGACAGATTAAGAATAATTGCTTTTATGTCATTAGATTAGGTTTGTGGGATCTGTGTCCACAAAGCCATCCTCAGCTTTCCAGATATTCATATACTTAAATTAATTTCTCCACATGTTGACTTTTGAAGACTGTGATGGATGAATAAAAAATACTACAGAGCTGTAAACATGGAATTCTGCCATTTCATTTTTGGCATTCAGGTTGGTTTGGAGACTACAGCACTGGCGTAGTGGAGTCTGACAAGAAGCCAAAAGTAGTGAGACAAAGGTGCCTCTGAAATTCTTCATGCTTGATAAGACGGATCAATTTACAAAACAGCTTTTTGTCAGAGGACAGGACTCCCTCTTGCTCACTGCCTGGAGCAGTCTTATCTACTGTCTGTGCAAGTGTGTGGGCTGCGTCACATTTCTTTCAGTCTATATTTCTTTTCAGTCTTTTGTCAGTGGAAAGATGGGGTTGGTCCAGTCTCTTAGCTTGAGGCATTAACTGAAAATGAGAAATTCAGTAACAAAAAGACAATAAGAAAGTATGTGGTCAAGATTTACACAAAAGTTAAACTCTGGCTTTAGTTGGCATTGTTTTCCATCTTTTCACCTTTGTAGACATAGAGAAGCCAAAATATGATTCTCCACTACTGGTTTATTGGAACCGTTTGATGTAGACCAATTCTACACTGGATAAATGTTTGACTCCAGAGAGGGTGAACATGGAACAATGGTGGGCAAACAGTAACCCATGACCATGGTTCTTTGCATCATAATGTTGGGAAATTTCCTGGCTATACATGTGCAGTATTGAGAGCATCATTCTCTTGTGACAGTGTGTGTTTAGCTTATCTAGGAGGTTATCAAGTAGAGCTAGCTGGCTGTAAACATATGGAAATGACCCCTTAACCCATTTCCTCCATTGCAGCTCTGTGTCTGTTATTTCAGTGTGAGGGATACCACACTCTCTGTGTGCACTACAGCTCTCACTGAAGGAGGTAACTCTTGGCCTTACTTGCTCTGTGGAACATGTTGAATGTGGTGCACCCCTCATTGTGTCATGCATATGGTGGGGCTTGAGAAAACTAGTGAAAATGCATATATTTTGCATTATTTTCTATGTGCAGTCATTGCCAATTCCACCCACTAGGTATCCCCCAATCATATGACTCTTTTGAACTGCCATTAACACAATGTCATTGGACAGCTCGACACGCGTGGAGGAGAACACTGCCTGCTAATTCTATTACATTAGCTAACAGGCCACCCACCTTAGCTAGCATCACTGTGTGATGGGGGAGAACAAGCCCATTCTACCCACCCAGAGAGAGAGCATGGCTAGTTATCCTCTCTTAGACTCCCAGCCATGTTGAAATCGCAGGGGATCTAACTCTCCTGTTCATAGGGCCACCGCTTACACAGTTTCGCCACCTGGGAGCACCATCAGCATAACAATTTGTGTGAAAAGTTGAATCTTTGAGTTCTAAGTATCTGATATGCCCCCTTTTGCTTTAATAACAGCGTGTACTCAAGCTGGAATGGATGCCACAAGTTTGTGCAAAAGATGCGTAGATGAAATCCATTTAAGAGTCTGGGATAGGGATAGGAATAAGACTGAACTGAACTAACCTAATAGCCTTAATGTGGTCAGTGTCAAATTTGTTTAAATGGATGATCTGGAAACAGAGTGCAGAAAATGCTTTAAATTTTTCAGAATTCCAAAACATTCTGAGTAATTTCAATGTGTGTTCAGACTTTGGACTAAGAACCTCTCAATGGATGGTTCTTTAGAGCAGAGATTCTCAAACAGGTCCTCAGGGACCTCCAGACAGTCCACATCTTTACTCCAAATTTGGTTCCTTTGTGAACCAGTGCTTTAGAAGATGATTGTTGTAAATTACATGCATGAGTGTGAAGAACCTTGTCAACGTTTAAATAACCTTAATCGTAATGTAGAGGTTCTATACCAAATATACCAAAAATGTTTTTTCCTAGAACCATGCTTCCATGCTGAGAACCATTTAGGAACATTTATTATAGCATATTTGAGGGTCCTGTTGTGACATTTAGCTTTGAATATCTTTCTAAAGTCATTCACAGAGGTATTTCGCTGACTTTTTTTCACGTTTTTGACCTCTGAATTAAACATATGAGCTCACTTTGCTCTTCGACCCAGTTTTGTTGCAAAATCTAAGTAACTCCATTGTGCTTTGTCCACACTGTTACTCTTACAGTGACTGAAGTCAAGGTAAGAGCAACATGAAGTGTCTTGCCTGAGTCTTTGTTGCAAATGCATCAAGGTCTTATGATCCATCTTAAATCTCCCTTCTAAAGGGCCAACTGTGCACTCCTCACAGGATAAATATAGCTTTACCCACATCTGAGTGCCATACAAGCTCACATTGCTAAGCAGGGATTTGATTGGAGGATTAGAACAAATGAGGTTAAATACACAGATGATGGAATTTAGAGCTTTTTTACTACTGCATGAAATTTTGAATTAAATATTATTAATTTTATTTGATTAATTAAATACTAATTCTGCACAGATTTTAACTGTCATAACAAAACTTTGTTTTGCTATGGCTTTTAATCTTCAGTGGCAACTTCACAGAGGAAGAATGAAATAGTAGTGAAATTGTTTAGATGAGTAACTGTG